AGTCCGTTTCATTTGAAATGAAAACATTCCTCTCAATCCAATACACTTGAGACCTCCTGATCAATCTCTCGCTTTGCTGCATAATTGCAGACTATTTTTGTCTCAGAAAGAAAAAACTACTGATAAAGTTGCAGATAGTTATCTTCAGAAAACATCCTTTGTTCTTTAAGATAAATTACTATTTAATCATTCTTTTTCTATTATGCACTGATTGACAGAGGAACAGAATAATATGGCACAAACCTTTAAATTCCATGCATACAGTCTATTGAATGTATTAGTTCACTTAAGGCTCCTTTCCTAATGTTTTTGCTGTCAGGAAACTCTCCTATGAACCATCCTAATGACTTAAGACCATGGGCCATGCCTTTAAAACAACACATTTAAATCTGAACTCACACGAACTCAAATAATCTCAACAGGAAAAATGTATTCCTTCACTTTCTTTCTGACAGAGGAGTAAGCACAGGATACACTTAGCTCAGAAGCTAGCCTTTTTCAGGGGTCAGCATCACACGATGAAGGAAAGATTACTAGAATTTAGGGCAAGTAAGGAACAAGCACCTATAATAACAACTTCTTGCAATTTAAAGTCTAGAGACTTTATGAGTCAAAGATTACAAGTTTAAAAGCTCCCAACGGACCAACCCATCATGACGCTCTCCAGACGCTTCTATACATCATCCTACGGCAATGAACTCCAATACATAGGTTCACATTCTGTGAAGAAGTATCTCTTCTTGCTTGTTTTTAACCTATTTTAAAGTATCTCCTTTTGTTTCTTTTTAGGTCTGACAGCCTAAAAACAGTGGGCACCCACTTAATATCCTGAAGAACAGTGAGTAACTGTTCCCTGATCAACTTCTCCAGGCCGCTCAAGATTGTATAGACATCTACCATAACCTCTCATTCCTCAGCCATCTGGTTTCCAGGAGGAAGAGTTATGGTCTATTTAGTATCTCCTCATACCTAAGCCATTTCTATCTCCACTGGTTCTGGTTGACTGCTGTTTCACTTCTCTAATTCTACTACTGTCTTTCTAAACTTACAGACTGGCAAAATGAGATGTTCTGTCTTCTTTCTGCACCCTTTATGGTAACACTTAACACTCTGTCTGCCTCTTTGTCTCTTCTTATTCTGTCATGTCTATGTGTTTCCTGCCAAATCTATTCTTCGCTAGAGTTTCTATCAAAGAACCTCCTTTCATATCAAGGATATTTAAAAAAAAAAAAATGTGTGCCATATATGCCAAATTTCATTCCTCTTCAGTTAGTAACTCAGCAATGTCTTATTTATTTTGAAGCCTTGAGTGAATAACACACAGTCACAATGTTTATTATTCCTCTTACTAATGTGTTCTCAATGTCTTCTGTTGATACTGTGATTTAACAATAAAGCAAATCCAGTGCTAAGGATACCAACACTGCACTAAAAATGTTACAGCCACATAACTGTAAGTTCAAATGCATTCAGAAAATTTGGACTGGTTGATTTTGTACTGGCAGTTTAAGTTGTATGAGATATCATTTGTCTTTTAACATCCAACATAAAAACTGCATAATGTCCAAGTTATGCACTCTTACTAAATAGACAGAAATGCATTCACGTGCCCACATTTGAATCAGATGAAATTTGTATTGATGGATGATCAAATAGTGCACGGATCCAGGACTAATGGTCATGAAACTTCAGCCTCACACTTCATTTGGAGTTGAATTCCCTTATGAGATGTGCCTAAGAAACTCAAATCTCCATTTTACATGAGTTCAGAAATGATTACATAAATTCATGGGAGAACACTCATCAAGACTCACTATGGATCCCTGGAAGCTGCTACCATATAATGTGGAAGTGTCTCAGTATGGTAGCCCTATTCTGTTCTTCTCTAGGCATCTGTTAATAGTCACAGTGGGATCCAGACGCTAAGCAAGAGAGACTTGATTTAATTCACTACCATTGTTCTTAGGTAGTCAGTTTTATTTTTTCCCCCCAAAATCGTTTTTACTCCAAAAGACTATTCCAGCCTCACTATGCCAAAGTTTGTTTATTTCTCTGCTCCCAGTTTTTTCCCATCCCCCTTCACAACAGAATGTACAAGAACTCTTGTGGAGCTGCATAAGACATCAAACCATGTCCTCTATTACCTTAGAGTTCTTCAGGAAAATAAGTTTAGCGGAAAAGGAGTGATCAAAGAAGAGACCTATGGCAAGTATGAGGAGTTAATTTGCAAAGACCTGGATAAGAGTGCGATAGCGACAAGCCCTGTATATTCGTCATCTCCATGCTTTGGACAGCTATGGGAACGCATAGTTATTCTGAGACTAAATTCTTTTGAATCCTCAAAATACCTTAACACACACACACACACACAAACACAGAATTAAGAAAATTTCCATTCTAAAACAAATAAACAAAACACTTGAACAGGGAAAAGTACCATTAAAAACTGAGAGATTATTAATTAATAGTAGACCCGGTGTGCACTACTAGATCCTGGTTGGGGGTGGGGGGGTAACTTAAAGAAATATAACTGTTTGTTTGTTTGTTGGGGAGTTGTTTTTGTTTTTAAGAAATACATGGCATTTAGAATTTTTCTTTGAAAAAAGTTTTGTCCTTTTTTTCTAGCACAGAAGAAATCACAGCTCCACAGTAGAATCCCAAATAATCGTGTCTACTGAACATATATGGTTTATGCTAGCTACAGTCATGCTGCTGTTTTAGAACGGACCGCACTTACTGAAATAGAGCATGAGCTTACAAATCCCTTCACGAACTACAAGTGCTTTTCTGTACTCTACCAAAAGCCAAATGTTTGAATGTTCAGAAATCCAGTCATAAGGTTGTCCTGAGCCACTGTAGCACTGTCACTGCATCAACTTCCAAAGAGGGGAAGATATCCATGAATACCTCCCATACACACAGGTACACATTATACCCATCTCTAAAATGTGCATCCACAATAGTTCATTCTGTCTTGATAAGGAAAGTTTTGCACCATTTAATCTATATTTCCTGGAATTCCATATATCTCAAATATGATGATTAGGCAGTTAAATACAAACACATATAAACAGATAGTCTTATGTTTTAACACTATATCTTACTCTTAATATCTATATGGTTACTGGCTCTATCCAGTTACTTAGACTGCAATGCAAAGACACCATCTTCCAGAAGAGGAACAGCTAGTTAGACCCCACAACACATTTTAAGGAAGCTCGAGTTGAGAAAAAGAGGCAACATATTGTTTTACAATTTTGCCCTGTGTTCATTAGCAGGCTAACTTCAAGATGTCTTTCACTGTCATAATTATAAACAATGATATAGGTTGGAAGTATCTGTAATATAGCCTACTATGCTTCTATGCTATTCCTCAGTGCAGTGATAATTAATCAAGTTTCCAAAAAAGGTAAATAAATGAATCACCATAGGATACAAATATGCATTTTCACACATGTGTTTTCAGTCTAGGGGGAAGAAAACAAGAGAGAGGTTCTGTTTGCTAAACATTTTTCTTACATAGACTTACAAAAAAACTGAACCCTTCAGATGACCTGTGGAATAACCACAGTCCAACAGACTGAAAGAACAAAAATTGACAAATCATCGATTCACATTAAGTTATCATTTTTCAAGGCTAATTTGTGAGTGAGAAAATAATTTTTCACTGAAATGTTCCTCAAAAGGAATCTATTCCATGTACTAGGGCTTTAAAAAAAAAAAAAAAGAAAAAAAAAAAGAAAGAAAGAGAGTCTTACTCAAAGGTTTTCCCTACTTTTACTTCACTTTGGAAAGAACAAGAAAATGGCATACAGAGAAGTTTCTCCATTTCCCAAGTTTTATCTGCATGTTTGATGATAAGGTAGGGGAAGGGAGAGAGGACCGACAAACCCATGAAAGGAAAACTTTCAGAAGAAAACAGCAGAGCAAACAATTTCTGATATGACTTCAGTCTGATCATTCTGACGTGAATAGTACATTCATTAGATAGTTCAGATAAGTAATATCAGGTCTTACAGCTTAACGAAGCACAGAATCCAGTAGAGGAATGTACATAGACATTTTCCTGAAAATAACATATAATTCAGTGGCCTTTCAGATAGGATCACTACTGTCAGCCACCATCCTGTCATTCTCATTTTATTAAATATATATTTGAAATCTCTATAAAATCTCTATAGAGTCTGCCACTTTTAGATCATGGGTTGTCCCCTTTCATCTTTGTCAGGCCGCTCTAAGACTTGGAAAAAGTGTTGCTTTGTGCTCTGATGAGATCATTAGCAAAAGAATGATATGCAGTTAAAGAAGAATAAACTTATTTCAATATAGTACCCTAGTGTTTCATTTGTTACCAAAACAACATCAAGGAACCTTTCACTACCAATAACATGATATATCCATAAAATGACCATGGTACCAATGAAATGCACCTGCTATTGCAATCAGACAAAAAACTGATTACAGATATTTTATCAGTTTTGTTGTTATTCTTTCTTGATGTTTTTATTACAGTCCTCACAAACGTCACTGTCGAACAGTAACACAAATGTCAATTGTATTGCTGCATAGAGAAACAGCTTCATGTTAGAGAAGAATTTGTCCACTAATATATAAAAAGTTGAAACTGTAATTATGTTCCCAGTTCAGGAAGGTACTTACCTTATATATAACTTTAACAAAATGTAGAAAATTCAATATATAAACCAAAAGCAGCCTGCAATAACTCATTTTCAGCCTTGGTAAGCATACATGATTATAACCAATTGAAGAATGTATTGCAAGCTTTCATCCTTGAAAGAAATTTCTACATCTTCTTCAACAGGGTTGATCAGATGTTTTGATAATGAACTGACTGCTTACAACACGGAATATGCATGATAAAATAAATTATCTAAAAGGAGCTCTTATTTCTCAGAACTCATTGGTTTGGGAGCTAGACCAACAGTACGTTCTGTACTTTTTAAGTCATAATTATGGAGCCAAATAAAATATAAACTTACTTTTTTTCTGATTCATTTTTTTTGACACAGATGGACGGGTAGGACTTAATACAGGCAGAGTCACCATCCTCTCTGTGATGTTAAAGGATACATCCGCGGACCACACAGTCTCCTCTTTTGCAGTAGCAAACAGCTGGGTGCTGTCTTCAGGGACTTCTGCCAAAACAGCATCATCTGTAGAATCAGGATTGAGCAGTGAGCCTTGAGTTGGAGGATTAAATGAATTTTCCTTGAAAGCACCTCTAAATATATTTGAGTTCTTATTTATTTGGTCAATGTGAGATAAAGGTGTAGTGGTCCAGGAGGGGATGTACGCACTGAGATCCCCTGCGGGATCAACCTTGGAACTATTTTCAGCCATGTTTGGAAAAGGAATGTCAGATGTTTCAATTTCACCAGTAACTGTGAAGACCTCACTTCCGTTTGAATAAGAGCATGTTTTTTCTAGCACCCCTGGAAGAGAGGGAAAAAAAGCACGAAAATTACCATCACCCTGAAAGAACAATTTGCTTTGGAAGGCTAATACTAAGTACAATAGCATAGACAAAAAAAAGTAATTTTTATTTCAAATTTACAGTTAAATAAGATTAAAGAATTTCTTATAGCAACAGAATAACAGAAGCACAACCAAACAATAGGTGTGACTGCTGTAGGATAAATGGCTAAATATACTAAAAAGCCATTTTCCAACACAAATAAATGCTTCCATGAACTAAAAATATTTTAATCTTACTCATAGTAGGTCACTGAAGTCTTACGAATTCATAACAATTACACGTAATTAAGGGGGAACTCCAACATGTATTTGTTCTACCATTATGTTAAAAAGATTAGCAATAATTTTCTTTTTATCACATCTTTACTTGTAAAGAGTCGCATCAAATAGTACCACCATCTTTAGAAAGCTATTTTGGAGCTTCACTGGAGCCAAAATATTTTACATTCACCAGCATTTAAAATGGAGAAAGGTATTGTTTTCTCTGTACAGGATTATGTAATTTAACTATGACTGCTGAATATAGATTTTGTTCTTTGCCATCCTTCTCTAATACTGGTTTTTAAATATATAGCTATATCAAATATTTTAGGTAATTGCAATATTTAATTTTTTGTTGGTTTATTATACCATAGACCAACACAGAGACTTCGCTTAGTTGTATGTTGAAACAGTTGCAAAATATTTTTAGTTCACAAATCAAAGCAGCTGCATAACACTAAGGATATCCATCCCATAAGCATCAGGAAATACAGACTAAATTGTAAGATAATCTACTTTTTACTTGTGGCTGTTACAGAAGTATTTAGCTAATCTAAATAATAAAGGAGGCATCTCAATTATATATAGCACACAAAAATTATGTGTAATAAAAATTACAGACATTCTTTTTTACCAAATATATCAGAGAAGTATGTAATGCTATAAGAGAAGCACTGCTTTGTACTGTGACGTAAGAAATATTTGACAAATAGCAAAAGCAATTTTTGCCAGCAGTTAGTCATTTAAAACAGTTTAGCAATTGTAATATACCCAGTTCAGCTAGATTTAGTTACAAATAATTAAAAGGAGCCCTTTAAAACATAAAATTCTCACCAGCTGTTCTTAAATACCTTGGTAACAATTTGTAGTTTTAATAACTTTCCTTACTGTCTTTTATCCAAGTTCAACATACCCAGAAACAAATATTCTGTGAAAATAATCTTATCTGTAGAGTCACTTTTGCTATTCAGGTATTATTACTTCAACAACAGCTATCTTGTTAACACAAATCACAGGTTTTTTGTTATGAACTTCCCTCATTTAAAATACTGCACACATATACGTAAGAAAAAAGATTCTAAAAGCTGTGCAACATTGCTAGAACATGACAGGATTCTACTCCTATCAGTGATTGTTAAGCATTCCTCTCACATTAATTGCTTAAAGACAATAAAGTAAAAATACAGGGGTGAAAAATATTTTCCCATTTAAGGATGGAACACAAATAAAACAGCTTTTCTTAGCCAATATCCAAACAGAAAGTCTCAAATATGGCTTCCCCAAGCTGGGCTCTATATCAAAACAAGAAAGCTTTCTGCTTTTCCTGTCAGTTCCTTTTCTTCTCTGTCATTCTTACTGCTAGCTACAGGCCTTCAAGCCAAAAAGATGGTCACATCTGAAGTGTACTAGCAAGAATTCATCTCAATTCATTCTCTACAAAACTTGTGAACCTGAGGAAAGTCATTCAGATTCAGCCTTTCCACTCTGATTGTTTTTTCACTTTTTAATTTTAAATTTTAATTTTTTTGACTGTTTCTTCACAGGCTTTCCTACCGATTTGTTCTTTCATCGGCTCATTGGTGCAGATGACTCTTAAGTCTGTGCAACCCCCACTGCCACATCTCCTGGTCTTCATTTTCAGTTTAGTTATTGCATTTACCAAAACAGTGATCACATTTCAGTCAGACACTGTTCACTCTCTATCACTCCAGGTCCCCTCTCTACTCTTTTAATCCCAGGTGCCACACACGACCCACAACTGCTTGGGTATCCTCAGCCCCTTCCCCCTGCTGTTATAGAATCCCACTTCTCACCCCCTTCACCTGTGTTGTGGCCAGGTTAAATCAGATCACCTGTGCTGCAACTGAAGGACTGGACAGGAAGGAATCTTTTTTTTAATCAAGGCTACAAATAACCAACAATGCCACAAGACCTAAACTTGCAGTCTGGAGTAATCTTGGATTAGGAGGTTTTAGAGGTAAGAAGAAAAAGGAACCAGATGAGCTGAGAAGAGAGATTCTTAGTGTTTCATTTTCTACTGATGAACCTTGGACTGGAATTAAGAAGAAAAACTTGTAAGGTTCCTGAAATACAGTGAAGTTCATTGAAACAGCTACTGTTTGAGATATGCTATAGCTTCATCTATCCAGATTGGGTTATTCTGGTTTCGGTATCCCTGATAGTGAGTAAGTCTTTGACTCTAACTTCCTTTGGAAGAACCTAAGGGAGCTTTATATTTATGCATATGATGGTTTCTGTTTTTATACCAGTGAATGTTCATAATTCATTGGGGATTTAGGAGTTTACTATGTGCATTTTACAGAAGCAACTGAAAGTCTCCCATCTGCAAGTTATTTTGGCAGCAGTTTTTCTTTGCTTAAGTCCCCTAGTCAGCCCAAACAGGAAGAATGAATGGGCTTTGATTTTATAAATGGGGACAGTAGTAATATGATTTGCTAAATCCTTAGGAAGCATGCTCAGAAACTGTGCTCACTTGTATGTTGCATTACTTGAGTGCTTTCTTTTTTTCCAAATCAAAATTTGAACCTCTATGATTGAGAAACCTACTTTGTTTCAAATTTCAAGCTTCAGTAACTGTTTCTGTAGCTTTTATTTTTTTTTTTAATTAAAATGAACTTCTTTTCCTCCTTTGGAGATGTGCATGATTCTTTCCTGTAACTCAAGAACAGCTGAGGGGATTTTGTTCACATTCTCTCTCCTCCTCCCTAGGCTCTTCTTTTCTCTTCCACTCATCACAAAAATAGGAAAAAGCCTGGAAAATGTCAGCCCCAAAGAGCTATGAATAATGATTTTAGATAACAATATTTACTCTAATTTTATCTATGTATTTCTCAGCAGAATACTAGGCAATACACTGCAAGTCAGATAAAAACTTTTTAAAAAGTTGAACTTCTGGTTTAATACAGTGGACCAATAAACACTGCAGTTACCCATTTGATTCTATTCTTCCCTCCCTTTTTTTGTTCTCTATCTAAAATTATAATAGCTATGTCTATTATTACCCATAAGATCACTTACTTCTACTGAGTTACCCAAATGCTTGCTTGTTTGTTCACCCCACCTTTACAACAATAACTCTTTTGTTCTATTTTCATAGTTTCCTGGTGATAACAACTCCCTTCTCCTCCTGACAGGTGTACTACATAATGAACCTCTTATTAGAAAAATGGCCTTCCCAATTATACTTTAGCTAACAGTGAGTATTATTAAGTTTATTTTTAACAGTTCTTGCCCCTAAAATAATAAGCTTTACAAAGAGCAAGGGGAGGACGGGGAGCAGAAATTTGATATTACTGGGAGGGAGGTCTATGGTGCCTGGGTACATGTAACTTTTGTATTTCCGTACTTCCAAATCTTTGTATTTAAGTTTTACCTTATCCTTGCAGGTTTCCAAACAGCTGCTTAAGACTGGAGAAGTTTAAAGAATCCAGTTTTTCCACCTCCTAGATCAGTGCTCCAGCAATTGACTGTCACGTATTAAGTCGAGCACTCTCAGCATTAGAGTGGCTTTAAAAGAATGAGTTTTACTGTACTCTTTTAAAGAATGCTCTTGGATAGTATCAGGAAAGGTCTCTAGACTCTGTGTCCCAATGGAGTGCATGCATTTGCCTGGACTCTAGTCCATATGCTCTTGAGGAAGGTAGGCAGGCGTACACTTCTGCTTGGTATTCTCTATTGGCTAACTCCAGGTGACAGCTTTACTTCCATTTAATATGTGAGGTTTTTGGATGATCTTCCTGAGCCACCTTGTTCTCACATCCTCTCATCCTTCCAGGGCACAAAACAGGACATTCGAGCACATGATTCCTGGCTATACATTACACTCTCTGAGTTAGGCTCATATTTTATTGGATCTAGTCCTTTCTCCTCTAAAATACTACACCATATCTTCAATTTTATATTTAGCTTACTGGAGATTTTTTTTTTTTTTAACAGCATCAAAAACCCTGAAGGAACTATTTCAATTACAAAATAGATTAATAAAGTATTGATTTAAAGCATCACACTTTTCTTATGAAATAAATTAGTTCTCATCTCAAGATTCTTATCAATGCCTTCTAACAGCCATATAACACATAGCATATAAAATGCAGAATGCACATTTTATGTGCATACATGTACATTATCTTAAACTGTTCCACAGATGTGAGTTCGTACAGAGATGCAGGCAGTATACCACAGGCCAGATAGTTAATTAGTCATGAAATAGATGCATCCGTTTTGGATTTGTGTGTATAGTTACAGCTGGACACGTCCAGATGACAGAAGCATATAGCATGCTGGCATTCATTGTTTGCTACAAAAATGGGAAATTGGCACCAAGCTCATTCAGTTTAAAGCAGTGCTTTGCCAACAGTCTTACTGATCACTTTCCAGTTGCTGTTCACTATTGGAGAACTAATGTTTTATTTAAAGATCTGAGAGAGTTATGAGATCTGAAACAATCACATTGTTCGGGCCATTAAATTGAGAATCTGGCTGTGTATACTGTGGGTGATTTCTAGTGATTCACAGCAGGAAATCTTGAAAAGGCCAGGTTTATTTAAAAAGATAATCAAATAGAGCAAAGAGGCTTACCAAAGCACGTATAATGGATGAGACAGTTGAACTACAATTTTATTCTCTGTGCATTAATGTAGCTAGCCACACTGTACCTACCCACTGAGGTTTCTTC